GTGAGACAAAGATAGAGGAGTTTTCCAACTAACCGTTGGAACATAGCTTTATCTTCAAGTGGCTCTCCACCCTCTGCACTGATCTTGTGATTCTGTTCAATAGGTGTATCTGCAGGCTTAACACCTAACTTTCCAGTTTCTTCCAACAAATCTAGAACATACTTTCTTTGAGAAACAAAAATCCCTTGTTTAGATCTAGCTACCTCAATACCCAAGAAGTATCGTAGCTCTCCCAGATCTTTCACCTCAAATTCTTGATGAAGGAGTTGTTTGAGAGACTCAATCTCATCGTTATCATTCTCTGTCACTACAATATCATCCACATATACAGCAAGCAAGGTCAAGGAAGAGTCCACTCTCTTAATGAACAATGTATGGTCTGACTGGGTCTGTACATAGCCGAATCTGTCAAGGCCTTGTCTGAATCTATCAAACCAAGCTCTGGGGGACTGTTTGAGTCCATACAAGGCTTTATTCAATTGGAAAACCTTCTTTCCTGTTTCTGCATCATAAAATCCAGGAGGCAACTGCATGTAGACCTTCTCTTGCAAGTCTCCATCGAGGAAGGCATTTTTAACATCCATCTGGAACAAGGGCCAAAAGTAACTGGTTGCAAGGGACAATAAAACCCTAATAGTGGTCATCTTTGCTACTGGAGCAAAATTCTCCAAGTAGTCTATACCATAAGTTTGCGTAAATCCCTTTGCAACTAACCGAGCCTTATACCTTTCAATGGAACCATCAGTATTATGTTTCACAGTAAATACCCATCTACATCCAACCGGTTTCTTCCCTTTAGGCTGGTCAACTAGCTCCCAAGTATTATTCCTTAGAAGAGCATCAATTTCAACCTTCATTGCATCTTTCCACTCAGGAACTGACAAGGCCTCCTGCACTATTCTAGGGATAGGAATATCGGCAATAGATGTGAGGAAGGACTTGTAAGAGGGGGGCAAGTGATCATAGGACAAGAACTGGGAAATGCAGTGGGCTGTGGATGTGGTGCAACACCGCTTGCCTTTACGGACTGCAATGGGAAGGCCAAGGTCATCCAAAGGAGGTAAGGGCTCAATAGTTGAAGGTATCTCATTGGAACTTGGATCTGATAAAGGAACTGTAGTACCTGGATCTGGATCCACAGAAGGAACTAGGGTTGGCCTGGACTGTTGATGACCGAAATCAACCTGCCTCCACCGCTTGTGATACACTCTCAAATCCCGACACCTTTGACACCCCTCCCCATTACATCCCTCATCACTCAATGGAACAGGTAAAGGAACTTCTGATGAGTTAACCCCACACTCAGTACTCTCCCCCTGAGGAGAAACCCTAGGATAATAGGGTACATCATCGAAGAAAGTGACATCCATAGAGACAAATATTCTCCTAGAAGTGGGTTCTAGCAGTAATGTCCCATTTGAGTTTGTGCATAACTGAGAAAAATACATTTGGAGGCCTTAGGATCAAATTTGGAACGATGAGGTCCAAGAATATGAACAAAGCAAGTACAATGAAAGGTTTTAAGGGGAACAATAAACAAGTCTTTATCAGGGTATAGGAGGGTAAATGGAGGCTTCATGTCAAGAACCCGTGAAGAAACTCGGTTAATGAGATACACTGCTGTAAGAATAGCATCTCCCAGAAACGAATAGGCACATTGAAGTTAAACATGATGTTTCTGGCCACATCCAATATGTGCCTATTCTTCCTCTCAGCAACCCCATTTTGCTATGGTGTATGAGGACAAATACTTTGATGGATAATCCCATGGTCAAGCAAATAAGAGGCTAATTGGTTGGCAAAGTATTCTTTCACATTATTGAATCTGAAGATTTTGATTTTGATCCCAAATTGGGTTAAAATCATTTGATGAAACATCCAGGCCAAAGCAGGAACCTCATCTCAAGAACGCATAAGGTAAACCCAAGAAAAACAGGTATAGTCATAAACAAACAACAAGAAATATCTGTACCCCCCCATACCAGTGATGTGGTAAGGACCTCAAACATCGGTATGCACAATATCAAAAGGATTATTACTTCTTTTATTACTCAATGAATAAGATGTTCTACAATGCTTTGCAAGCTCACAACTCTCACATCTCAAATTGGACATCTGAACAGACTCAAATAAATCAGGAAACAAACTCTTCAAAGACCGAAAAGATAAATGACCCAACCGATTATGCCAAAGCATAACCTGACTAACAGATTGAGAAACAAAAGACTTCCTACCTTCACTATCTTCCCAATGTGAACTCTCTCCAAGCAGATAGATCCCATTTGTCTCACGACTAGTCCCAATCACCTTCCTTGTCTCCAAGTCTTGAAAAACACATCGGTCAGGGAAAAAGGTTACTGAACAATTCTGATGTTTTGTAATGCTACTGATTGAAAGCAAGTTAGTATTAAGCTTAAGAACATGTAGAACTGAAGATAAGGAGATGGCATTAGACAACTTGATGTTTCCCTTGCCAGAAATTGGAACAAGGGAACCATCAACAATGGGCACTTTATCTCTGCTAGAAGATAAGTGATAGGTAGTGAACAGTGATGGCAAGCTAGTCATATGGTCAGATGCACCTGAGTCTATTACCTGGAGCTGAAGCATGATAAGTTGAGGATCGAGTACCTAAATGAGCAAAAGCTGATGTGGGAGCTGATGGCAACTGAGATGATTGAGCTGAATTGCCAACTTCCTTTTCCAACTGAGTTAGGGCAGCCCAGACAGCAGCTAGGGTGTCTAGAGGTGTGCCTTTTGTGCCCGATGAGGAGGTACAATCAGTGTTAATAGCCATATTAGCATTACCCCTTTCGTTCCTGAGTTTTGTTGGGACTAAATGAGGGTGCAGCTTCCAACAGGTGTCTTTAGTATGCTTGGGTTTCTTGCAATGTTCACATTACTAGATCCCGCTTGTCTTCCTTCTTTATATCCCTCTTCGTATCACCCCCAGACTTAGGTTTRACTGCTGCCATGGCTGGTGGGAAGGGCTGATGCTGCATCGTAACCTTTCTCCTAGTCTCTTCACTATGCACTAAGGAGTAGGCTTGTGATAGGGTCACACTGTCTCTTGTCAGTAGTTGCTGTCTCACAATATCATACTCAGGATTCAGACCAGGTAGGAACTCAAAAAAACCCTATTAGTCTCAACCTGCTTTCTATGAGTCTGTGCATCCTTTTGGCTTTCCCACTCAAGTGTTTCTAGGTGGTCAATTTCATGCCACAAAGATTTTAGTGTAGAGAAGTAAACCGAGATTGGTTTCTCTCCTTGCTTAAGGTTGTTAACCTCACATTTTAGTTCATAAGCCCTAGCAACATTAAGGGGTTGGGAGTATGTCTCTTTCATGACATCCCAGATTTCCTTAGCTGTTTTTGCCCACAAATAGTTCCGGCTGATATGTGGCTGCATAGAGTTGCACAACCATGTCATTACCAAATAGTTTTCCTAAACCCATTTGGTATAGGTTTGGTCCTCCTTAGTTGGTTCTTTCATATCTCCCAACAAGTAGCTCAGTTTTCCCCTACCCCCAATGGCCATCATGGCCGATTGAGCCCATTCTAGGTAGTTTGATCCATCAAACTTAATTGTTGTAATCTGAAAGGTATTCTCAGACATGTTACCAGATTTGCTAGTCCCAAAAACACCTTCCCCTTGATTCTTGAACTCCATTCTTGATCAAGAATTAATAAAAAACCCTTTTTTAATTACTGTAATAGGAGAAACAGCACCTAAACAACTGATAACAACCGGCCTAGGTCTTCCAAAGAACACAGAAAACAGAATTCTGAATGAAACCAGTTCAAATTCTGATCTGAAACAAATAACAGTTTTGAATTTTAGGGTTTTCTCTCAAAACCCTAAAGAAAACACAGATTTTCCACCTCTCAGACTAAACCAAGATGATCTTTTCTAAAGTCAATTACAAGAAAAAAGCTTACTTTATGGAAAAATTTCTGGCCGCCACCTTCTGGTTGATGCAAAACCCTAATCTTGAGGATCCGAAGCTTCTTTTGATTCTTCCCGACTACTGGAACTCTCCCAGACTTCTATAATCTCTTTAGTAGCAGCCGCACACCACCAGTAACCTCCAAGAATCAGCCGATCCTCCTTCCTTGTTGAAAAACTTCCAAACCTAGGAGGTTCTCATGCAGTCAGCCTAATCAGACTAGCATAAGAGCTCCTAGGTCGGCTCTGATACCAAGTAGTCGATCTAGACTACAACCAGTCTTGAATTTAAAAGAAAAAAGGGATGAAAAATTGAAGAGAAGAAGAAGAGAAGAGAGGAAGAGAAGAAGTACACGAAGAGAGTTTCAGAAAAGAGAGGGAAGGTTATGATTTCTGCCGACCCACTCTTGGTATTTATATAACTGTAAAAGGGCTAAATTGCCCTTATTGCTTACATGGCAAATAGAATAAGAAATAACTAGTAATAAAGCTGAAATAACTACCAACTAACACTGTCATATCAAACAGAAATATTGCTGCCATATGAACACTGTGGGGACCACATCAGTGGGGTCCACATCACTGTTCTCTACACAGACAAACTACCAGAACTGTACATGACTTTTCTCATATAAAAAATGACTTATTTTGTTTGTCTTTTGGGTGGGAAGGTAACCAAAATACTCAACTATGTTCAAATAAAAGCCTTGTCCCAACCACAAAAGCAACCGTCTTGTTAAAAAATTTCATGTATTAATTATATTAATTATTATAATTTCACATGTTCTTGGTGCATTATTAATGTGTGAAGATTGGGGGGATCAATCAATGGTAATGGCAATTGCCACGTAAGTATTGATTTAAAATAAATAATAAATGAACAAAACCAGCAAATCTTATTATAATTTATAAGAGTTGAATGCGTCAAAATGTATTATTGGTGCCACTAAAAAAAATGCATTATTGTTACCAATGGTCTTCTACACGCTTGATGGGACCATCGTACTTTAGTTTCCCTCATTTTATCACCTATCGAGTATCCGTGAACTTCTTATCTATTCGGTTGAAATTATGACCTTTCTGAGCATCGAAAGTTATCAGCTAGCCTGCTGCTAAAGTCTCTGGCTGATTGTAGACTTGTAGTGGAGACCTGGGATTGAGTCCTGCCTTCACCCATGATTGGGGGGGTGTCTAGGGGTTTGGTAGAGGGCTACCTTCTGTTGTGTAGCCCATTACAAAAATAAATAAATAAATAAATAAAGAAAGAAAGAAAGAAAGAAAACAAAACTTTTTAGTTGGAAGTTGAAATTGTAGCACAGAACATCATTCTTTCTTTCTACCATTTGACATATAATCTGGACTGTATCTTTGCACGTTTTAGGCATTACTGTAATTGTTTAATTTGCTTTTCTTTTCTGTCGCAGGTCCAGACATATGCTTTGGAATGTTGAAAACTATTTATCACCCCCTATGGTATGTGCTTATGTTTTGTTTTCCTTCTCCCTGATTCTTTATCCATCACTGAGGTTTTAATGGATTATTATTCCACTTCCTTTTTTGTCTATTTTTTTTCGAAGTTTGCTTAGTATATGATTTGGTGGAAGATCTTTTGGTATAATAAGGTTGAAAAGACATGCTCCAAGTCACCGACTTTTAGGGGTGACAATAAACATGGCAGTTAGTTTTCAATGGGTCAGCAGATCAGCAAATGTCATGGCTGATTCTTTGGCTAAAGAAGGGGTATCAAGGGGTGATCTGTTCTGGGCTACCTTATAACTGTAATTTCAGGCTAGAGATGCTTATTTGCTCAGTGCTCAGTTCCAAGGGGAGGTAATATCTCGTGCCTCCTCTTAGGCTGATTGTACACTTTTTCTATGATTTATAAAATACCACTTATGTATCAAAAAAAATCACCAACTTTTTCCCACCTGCCCTTTTGTTTTTCATTTTTTTTTTAAAAGTAAACGAAGGTTATACAGTTGGTTTAAAAAGCATTCATTCTTAAAGCAAAAACATAGAAAACATGTTCTTGGTTGTGAGGTGTATTTTTTTTTTTTTAAATTCTAAAACTGAAAACGGAAATACATTCTTGATTTTCTAGTTTTAAAAAACATGTTCTTTTTTAGTGGTTTGTTATTATGTTTAATAGAGCATATATTATTCAGATAAGATTCTTTTGTGGATAAATTTAGATAGAAATTCTTCTTGAATGGATATTGGTTTACCGGTTTACCGGTTTACCTTTCGTATTTTTATTATTTATTTGATTTTTATTTATATTTTTGACGCTAATCCATTTAGTGATGAGTTGATCCCTATGAGTTTTAAACCAGCACCAGTAAGTGGGTGTTCAAAGCATCCTTTTTTTTGTTTCAGAAACAAAGTTATTATTTTGAATCAAATTGAAAATATTCTTACTTTGGTTTGAAAAGACACACATCCAAGATCGTTTTTATTTTGTTCTGATGTGGCATTTCATAGAAAGAAGAAAAACATGCATTCATGTTGGAGACCCCCCCCCCCCATTCATCGTCAAACATGGTTTACTCTGCAATTCTTTTTATAGATCACTCTTTTTGAAATCTTATCTAGAGATGATAATACGTGATCATTTAATAATTTTGTACAGGATCAGGCTTTATGCCATAAGGTTCAGAGTCTTGATTTGAACTTTTACTTTTTGAGTATAATAATATATCATTTTTTTATAATTTAACAAACTGCACTAAGTTGAAACCCTGTCCCAGAACCTCTTGCATTGTTCATCAAATTACATTGAGTGGATATATTTTATGCATCATGACAAAACATGTCTCACAGTATGACCATGATATCATTACAAGGATGCAATATCCTTACCGTTACATACATGAAACCCATCCCATTTCATGTCTCACAATAGTATATCAGATTCAAACTTGACTGAGATGCTCTCGTTGGTGATTTCTTTCTCTTGAAAAAGCAATATACACTGCCTATTAAAAAAGGAAAACACCATCCACTGTAATCAAACCATGACCAGTTAACTGAATCTTGTATCTCAACAACTTGTCTAAAGTTTTGCTCTAAACAATCAATATTTCTAGAATTTATGAGCCAAGAATGATTCCTTTTGTTAAATTTTTTGTCTTCAAAGACATTGAGTTTTGAGCCCATGAAAAAAACTAGTTCCACCAATTTTCATAAAACAAACTTTAAAGTCTTGGAATAAAAAAGCATCAGAATTAATTATTTGAAAGCTAGCGAAATGCAAACTTGAAGTTGGTATTGCCATTTCATAGTAACTTGTAAATATGCATCCTTCATTAATGGCGAGGAATACTGATAATTAGGGACTAGTTTTCTTGGTAAAGTAGATGTCTGTTGCATGATGGGGGTGAAAAATTTAAAATAAAAAAGCACTTACGCAGATGGTTGTGTAGATATAATCAGTCCAATTTGTTTCCTCATAGTTAATATGATAAATAGTTAAATACTGATGCTACGGTGTCAAATTAAACTTTGATGTTTGCCCTGTTGTGTTAGGCTTCAGCAATGCGTGTAAGACATGATATAGTGAACCTTATGCCTACTTCTGGGGATCAAGAGTAGCTCATGGCTGGTGGAGATTTCCAATTTGTAAACCCAAAACGATTCTCATGTTTCCTTGTCAAAATGTATGTATGATGCACCAATATTAATTTCTGTATCAGTTCATGTCCTACCTATCAACTGATGCATCATGCATCCATGTAATTTTCAATCAGAGTTGCATACTTGCATGTGTACAATTATCAACGAATGTACTCATTTTGTTTCGGTTTTGTTGAATATGATGAGGGCCAACAGAATCACTAGTTTGTTTCTTGTTTCTTCTTTTTGGGTAAAGAAATCAGTCTCACTTGCCTGTATGGGATTGTTGGTCTTCGCTACAGTTATATTCATCTTTATTCACTATCAATTTCAATGGGCTGCGCTGGATCTATGCTGCACCCATTGTTTCGACTTGTTCGAACATGATGAAACCTGGCATGACGGTGTAAGGGAATACAATGAAATTGATAATTTACATTTTGTTGCACCCAATTGATTTTCTTGTTTCCTCTCTATTATTGCAAAATTTGAGGTCGAACCAACAGTTATTGGCATTCCGGAAGTTGAATATCTGATTCTCAGGTTAAAGGAAAGCACTTGAATTTTGAATGGTATTGAGATTTCGAAATTGTTTAGCTATTGGATCTGTGGATAGTGGCCTTAACAAACTTTGTAACAGAAACAGTTTACATGGATTTCAACTTTTAAAGGATATCTGAATGAATATAGTCAAGGCTTTAAATATGGATTATATCGATTTTTATAAACACAAACACATGGCATGGGTTGAAAGAGATTGGTGTCAATTCATTTTGTACTAGAGAGTGAGTATGGGGCAACCACGGTTTATAGATTCATCCACCTCACAATATGAGTTTGTACGGTTGGGAACAGCTATCACAATTCAAGGGGCGTATTACAGCATTCGTGGGGGTATGGAACAACACATTAAAAAAAATCAATAAAAATTTATGAAGGAGCTAACCCTAAATTTCCCTTTTTTTCTCTACACCTATATATCATTTTGTTTTTGATACACTATTTACCTGCTATATATAACTTGAGTTTATCCGTAATTGATATATCATCAATTCCATTGAAAATCTTTATAACGAGTCTTTTATTTGAATTAGAAATATTAATATGATTTCAATCTTCTGAAATATGTATCTTTATTTAAGCAGCCACATGCTGTCAATTAGCACTTTTTTTTTTTTTTGTTTTCTCACCTTTTATGAGAGTGTATGAGAGTGGGCAGACATGTATCCAAGGAAGAAAACTTCCATTTGAGTGTAAAGAAAACCAATTTCTGGCTTCTCTTTCTTGATAAGATAAGTTGGCATTTGTATGAAGGAAAAAGTTCTTTGGTTTAAGTTAGACATTTGGTATCCTTAATACTTGATAAAAGACCAATAAAAATCACATGTTGGCAAGTTAGTTCTTGATATCTGATGAAGGGTAAAATGACCCTCCAATCATGAGCTGCCATGTGGCGATCAATAATATACGGCACCTCTCACTTGAACACATCTCGACAGATCGACTCTTGCAGCCTGAACGAGTCTCGATCTGGCTGAAAGGTAGACCGGTAGATCAGCCTACGTGATCGGACACGTGCGTCCATTGGTTGCCATAAGCGCTGAACTACCTCTTCAACTTGGGTAACACATGACCTGGGGGATCACGCCAACCTCAAGACCACTCGAACTTACATGGCACATTCTCCCTTATTTGTCCGCACCACTTAACACCTCCGAAATGCACGCGGACACAATGCCCATTTGGCAGCGACAAGCTCGGTTCCCTTCACTTCGCAGGGAATCGGATAAGGATGACCACGACGTCGTGCGGGCGTTCACTGTAAACAATGGGCGGATAAGTTTTATCACCTCCGAACGTGTCGGGCACGCTACACTGGGCCTTGAGGTTTATATAGGAGTGAACCTTCACCCTCAAAAGAAGGTACGCTCACTTCTTTACGCGCTTACTCTACTCTGATTTCATGGCCATTAGCTCTCTTTCTACTTCGTCAACTCGGTGCTAACTTGATCATTGGAGTCCCCTCGTCTGGGTCATTCCTTGGGCTCTCCGACATGTTTCATCTTGCAATTACGACCTAACGATATCATTCGATTTAGTTTGAGTTGTCACCGCTAACAGGGAATCAGCACAAACTAACCACCAACAATACCTTTTTTCTTTACTATTCAGCTTTTCATCATCTTAGGAACTTTGAGGAAGAGTTGGTTGTAAAAACAACATGGATTTTGAATTGAAATGAAAAATTATGGAAGTTATGAATATAATAAGCTATGTTTCTTGTATGTTGGAAAAAGTGAGAAAAAAATGCTTTAGATATAAGATTTAGTGATAGAGAAAGGGATTTAATATCTCAAATATAGGTCTCATAGGAGGAAATAAAATGAACTAAAATGTGACAATCTAGATTATATTTTTTGCTCTCATAACTAGGGTTGTTCACAAAAAGCATTCAATTAAAGATTTTTAGTTGGTTTCCATTATCAATACTAGTGAATGACTAGGAATGGCAACGGGGCGGGGCACCCCCTTCCTGTCCCCGCCCCGAAGTCATGATACCTTGCCCTATACCTGCTCCGTCTCCGGTGGTGGGGCATGGCATCCATTCCCCATCGGGGATGGGGAATCCCCGAATTTTCTCCATTCCAAGGCAATTATTTAAAAATTATCTATTTTATGGACAATTTATACATATGATATAGGAATTTGGGGGTATTTTAGAATTGAATTATAATAATTTAGGGATAATTCAAAAATAAAATTATGGGATCCTAGGATTTTAAAAATTTAGGGAAAACTTAGAGATGTTTTAAATATCAATATTAAACCTAGAGATATTTTATTAATTTACCTTCGGGTTCGGGGAATTATATACAAAACTCGTCCCCGCCCCGTACTCGATTCAGGGAAAAATTATTTTCCCCGTCCCCGCCCCATCCTTGTTTAGGGACGGGGCAGGGCGGGGCCCCGATTTTATGGGGGAAATTGCCATCCCTATGAATGACCCCGTACTAAGTACGAGGAAGTTAATTATATATATATATATATATATATATGAATAAACATTAATGATTTTTATTACTGTTTATAAACTGCCATTCTTTAAGACACTCGTACAGTCTATGGGTCCACATAAATTGACCCTTATATGTCAAACCCATAAAATTATACGGGTCATTAAATTCAACTTGAACCGTTTATTACTTTAATTTAACCATTATTCTTCTTCTTATTAATTTATTTTAGTATTTAATTTAAATTTTTGTTATATAGTAATAATATTAACTAAATTTGTAATTATTTAAATATTTACTTAAAATATTTTTTTCCAACCGAGTATAATTATTATATAATAGAGGTGTTAATTCATAATTTGCATTTAAGAATAAACATTAATGATTTGGCTTAGCAATTTTAATGACTGTTAATAAATATTGATTCTTATTTAAGGTTTAATTACTGTTTTCGGTAATTATTATGGGGCATGCTTTGAATAAACATTAACGATAACTAATGATTGTTATTTCGTTTTTTATTATTTACTTAATTAAGTACTTGATGATTGTTATTATTATTTACTTAATTCAGTTCAGCAAGTAATTATTTGATTTAATTTGAATTTTTTTATTTTGTTAATTATTTATAATAGACATTTAGGGTAGACTCTTTATTTGATTTAAGAGACTAACCATATTTTATCTAGACAATGACCCCAAACTAGGTAAGGGGAAACTACAATATCATTTAATTTAAAATTTACTATTTAACAATAAAAAATCAATGTCTTGTTGAGCAACCCACCCCCAAAAAGTATCAATAACTTTGAAATGGAAAAAGCATTTAAATGATATCTCTTCAAAGAGGCAAAGAAGGAAGAAAATTATTCAAAGATCTGCTAAGAAAAACAATCAATTCCAAACAACATTTGCAAATGCATCCATCATCTGAAGTAAGAGATGAAAAATATATGACTACAATCAAATCATCATCATGTATCGCTACAATAAACTCATCATCATCGTCATCATTAATGACAACTTGACAAATACATAATTTGAGAAAAATAGGTAAATATCATTAATTTATTTATTTTTATCTTTTGGAGAACTAAATAAGAGAATAATAAAATGGTTAGCATTGCAAAATAAAAATTATTTAGATTTTTGCAAAAAAAATTATTTATTGAACATAAAAAACCAATTATTCAAAAATAAGGTCGTTAATCAAAGAGTAATTAAAATTATTCAGTAAATAATAATTTTAAGAAATTAAAATTAATAATTAATTATCTACCTGAATTAAAATGGGTAATTTCAACAAATAATTTTAAATAATTAAATTTTGCTATTAACATTTTTTAATAATAATCAGTATTATTAATAGATTAATAATATATTAATAATTATGAAATCAGTAATAATAATAAGTATATTATTATTACTACTATTATTATTATTTTATTTTTATTTTTTATTAAGTAATTAATTTTTTATAGTTACGATTTTTAGTTATTTCCTAAAAGAATATTTGCTTTTATAATTCTTTAAGTTTAACAATATTAAATAATTGAAAGTTTTATAATTTAACTTTCACTAAATGAAGTATTTATTGGAGAATAATAATAGTATTAATTATAAATAGGTAACACTAATTATATATTTATAAAATAATTAATATGAATTTAATATTAATATAAAATGATTATATCCCAATTAATAATGAACATTATTAAAATGCGTATTAATTATCATTAATTAATTAACATTCTGAAGTAATAATTATCATCATTAGTATTAGTAATAATTAATAATAACTATTGATAATAATAATATAATTATATTAATTAATATAATATTATTAATTATAGTTACTTATAATAATAATATAATTAATTATTTCATATAAATGTATGAATTATAATTTCTGATAATAATTATAATATAAATAATTAACATTAAATGTTTATTTTCAAAATAATTAATATTAGTTAATATAAATATAAAATGATTATTTCCGAATTATGAATTACCATTATGAAAATATTTATTAATTACCATTAATTAATTATCATTTTGAATTAATAATGAACAATATTGTCACTAATAAATTATCAGTAATTATTATAAGAAATTATTTTCCCGAATTAATATTGAGCAATATTATCAGTAATTAATTATTATCAACAATTAGGTAATAGCAGTAATTATTAAAAGAAATTATTTTAAGTAACTAATTATTATCAATGAGTAATTATTATTAGTAATTAATAGCTAGAATTAATTAATTAGAAGTAGTTAATAGTAATTAATTAGTAATTAACAATTATTATTATTATTATTATTATTAATTAATAACTATACTTAATTAATTAT